GCACAGCTTGCGGAGACCCTCGCCATTGTCCACCTCACGGCATGTGCTGAACGGCCCGTACACGTCTTCGTGGACAACCAGGCGGTGGTCGACGGCTTCCAAAGGATCATCGACGGACACTCACCTCCGCAGGGCACGCACGTGGAGTTCTGGGAAAAGGTCCACCGATGTGTCATGGCCAAGCCAAACATGTTCCGCGTAGAGAAAGTCGCTAGCCACCAGGGCGACACGGGCATCGACCTCGGGCTCATCGGGCCCATCGCGGAGGAGTTCAATCGTCAGGCTGACGCCCTCGCCACAGCGGCGGCACGTACTCATAACCTTCCAGACGACATCGTTGAAGCTGCCAAAGCACGACATCGCCAAGCGACCGTGCTCCATGGAGTCGCCGTTGCCATCTACGAGCGGAGACATCGTACACTTCCTCTCCCACACCGCAGGGCTGGGTTCACAGCTGCAGAACTAAACAAAATGGAACCAAATCCCCTGCTGTCTGACCAGGCTCCACCCGCGGCTGGACCAGACATCCCACAAAACCCCGACGAGCTCTGGGCCGAGGCCCAACGGGTGTTATTCGACGAACAGGAGGACGACCCGTTCGGCTTTGGTGGAGGTTTGGACTTCCTGGGCGACGAGTCAGCCAGCGCCAACCCTGCCCCGGCGGGCACCCGCACGGCGCCCCCGACTCCGCCATTGAGTGCGTCAGCCCACCCACATGACAACGCCGCTCCTTTTCAAGACGCTGATGAGCAGGACGATGACCTTTTCAGCCTCGGTGGGGGATCGGACGCTTTGGACGACGGACCAGCCAACGAAAACCCCGCCCCGTCGGGAATCCTCGCAAACCCTACTGCGACGCCGTCCCCAAGAGCGTTAACGCCCACATACGACGATATCGGTCACCGCCAAGACGCCGACCACGACCCGGGTGCCCCCCGAGGATTGAGTGGCATTGAGGACGCACCGCCGACACCACACGCTGCCGACCATGCCGCCCCACCGAGACACCAACCCTCTACGCGACCGACCTCGGCGGCCTTGCACGGCATCACGACTGGTCCCACCGCGCATACCACTCCGCCTCCCCATCGCCAGCGACCCGCGGGGGCGGCTTCAGCCCCCCCGCAGGGTACTAAACCAGACAGGCCCTCGTGCCCCACCCACGCTTCCTCCGTTGCTGAGCGAGAGGAAGCGGCTCCCCTGACCTCTCGGGGCGCGGCCCTAGCGGCTCCAGCCCTGGGGTCGCGCCGGCCCCTCCAGTCACCTTTTAAGGGTGACGGACGTCAGCGTTCAGGGTCCCGCACGCCGCTAGCCCACCTGGACAGGCGTACCGAGGACCTCGCCTCTGTCTCGAGATCCTCGGCGGATGTCACTGAGCAGCCACCTCTCACCGACCGTGAAACCGAGCTGTCACAGGCTATGGCTGCCCTTCAGCAGAGGTGCTTAGCTCTCGCCGCGGACCTCGCCGCTGCCCAAGCTCGTCAAGGTCCTCTACTCCAGCGCCTCCACAGCGCTGGGCGAGCCTTCGCCGAGCTGCTCACGACCTCGCCCGATGGTGTCGTGCCGTCACTCAACATCCAAGCTATGTTGTCATCGTTCCGCGGCGCTCCACCTGGTGCCCCGCGCTAATCTCCTCCTTTCTGCCTGCCCGTGTGTACGTGTGGCTCCGCGTCCACGGTGTCAGGGCGTGGGGGCGGGGGGTGCCCCGTCACTGCGCGCCGCTTAGCGGCCAAGCGCCCAACTGGCGGTCCGCCAAGCCGCCTAGCCACGTGCCAGCACGTCGCCTTTCTTGTTGGGGCCTTTTACCTCACGCGGTCTGTCAGGTGAGATCTTCATCGTCTGTCCGCCGTCTGTAGCGTCAGTCGCACTGCGCCGGGGGAGGGGGTTTTGTAGCCCGCCCTCGTATCATAAGGCTGCACCGCCGCAAATAGTGCATGCGAGTTGTCGCACCGCAGTGCGCCTCGCGGACGGACCCTGGTCCGCCTACTTGTCCGATCTCTCTCTCTCTCTCTCTTTTTTTTCTTTTTCTCTCCCTCTCTCTCTCTCTCTCGCTATGTCTCTTACTTTTCTCTCTTAAGATGGGGTCCCCGTGGCGGCGGTGGCGCGGGGGGCGGCGGCGGCGGTGGCGGCGGCGGCGGGGGTGGGGGGGCGGGTGTGTGTGTGTGTGTGGGGGGCTAGCATATATATATATATATATATTATATATATATATATATATATATATATATATATATCAATGCAGACACACGTACGTGTATATATATATATATATGTAAGCTGGGGATGCCCCCCACATTCAGTTCGAATTTCGTTTTTGTTGTTGTTTCCCTCTGGAAGGGGGGCTCGTCGGGTTTCGCGGCAGCGCGTGTATAGACAGCTTGCGGCGCATTGGCATGACCGGGCATGCGCGGGCTGGCAACCCTCAATTCATCAGTGTAGAGAACTATGGAGAGTGCGCCGCTGCAGCACGTTTCAAACAACTTAGCAAGTCCTCGATTGTTCGAAGCACGGTTTGCATTGCGACAGAACCAATGGAGCAACGCCAGCGGGGCGCAACATCTAGTAGGATACTGTTCGCCGCCTGCAAGTTCAATGTCGAGTGTCGGCAGCAGTTCACCGAATGACGTGTTCAGATGCAATCCTTGATTCGACGTTCTGCGCATGTCTGAATCGGACCCAGCGGCCCCGACTTGCCAGGCTATCTCTTGCAGCTCGGCCACTGACAGACCAGGCGATGCCTGCGAGAGCACGACCCTGCGTTTCGAAGCAGCAGCCGCCGCTCGTCGACGAGCATGGCTGTTCGACTGCGCGCGAATCCGCAGGCGGGCACGGCATCGGAAATCACAATGCCGCGGCGGCGAGGCAACCGCCCGAGAACAAAACAGAAAGAGGGAGCGAGGGTGGAGGAGGATCGGCCTCGCGAGGACCTCTGCCCCTCGGGGAGGCCGCGGCGGGCGCGGACGCTAAATTTCAGGCTTGCCCCACGCCCCCCGCCCCCCCCTTCCCCCCGAGGGTGCGCGAGTCGTTCCCCCCGGTGGAGCTCCACGCGCGCTGTAGTTCGCCCGATGTTTCGCGCCCCTCATGCGGATCGCGCCTTGGAATAATCTTAGCCGCTGCGGTGTCTCCACAGGCCTGTTTCGACCTAGCTTTGATTTAGCTTCGGCTCTTGTAATTCATTCGTAACAGAGTTCGATTTGGGATGAGAGTGGCACGTCAACCTACTAGTAAGTCTGTTACGTTAGAGTTCACTCCAAGTCTGCTACACCTGATTCCAAACCACCTCATAGGGAGCTGAACGGCTCCGCTCATCAAAGTAGTGGACGTCGTCGTGGAGGTCCACTACGTTTTTGGGTTGTTTCCTGGAGGGCGCGGCGGAGGCCCGCTTCGCGCGGCGGAAGGGGGCCTTGGCGCACCGTGGCGCATCGCGCGCCATAGCAACATCGCCACCGTCATCTGACATCGATGCCGCCTCCTCTCCTCCCTCGAGCCCTCTGCTCTGGCTCGAGGTCTTTGGTTGGCGCGGCGCTGCCGGCAGAGAGCGTAGGCGCTGGCCGTGGGCGCTCGACTTTCTCAGACCCTGGGAACGCGCGGGGTTCCATTATTCTGCCCCTGCCTTTGTCTATTCTCTCTGTCTCTCTTTGTCTCTCTCTCTCTCTCTCTCCCTCTCTCTCTCTCTCTCTGTCTCTCGCTTCCTATTCTGGGGCTCAAGCCTTTCTGGATCAAGTGGGTTTGAGGGCCGACCCGTCATTGGCCCTCCCCGCCCTGTGTTGACAGTTTCCGCCGCTGGCGCCACAACTGCGAGGCGGGCGGCGAAGGCTCGTCTCGCGTGGCGGGAGGAAGCCATGACGCAGCGCGGCGCACCACGTGTCACGACAACGTCGTCATCGTCATCTGACACCGATGCCGCCTCTTCTCCTCCTTCGAGCCTCTTCTGCACAGGTTCGGGGTCGTTGTTCGCGTTTTATTGCTGGCACGGACAGCCGGGAATTCAGACACCAGGGGTGGGGGCGCCCAATCATTTCATATTCTTTCAGCCCCGCCGAACGGAGGATCGGCGCACTTCGAGCACGTGTCCCGAAACATTTTTGTTCAATCGTGGCTTTTGACCGGGCTTCTACGTAATTGGCCAGCGGTTCCAGGGCATCACCAAATGGCCGCCCGCGGCAGCTTCGACATACCATTGCATCGCACAGCGCGCGCCACAGCTTGCACCATCTACGCATCTTACACCGCATGGCTTGCACTGCGTGGTTGCCGCCACACAGGCTGCACCGCGTCGCTTAACAACACGTGTTGCGCCACGCAGTGTGCATCATCTAGTTGTTATTAGGTAGCTTGCGCCACATATCTTGCACAGCATGCCGTGGGCCATCTCGTTTGCACCAGGTAGCTTGCGCCGTAGAGGCTGCGCCACACAGTTTACGCAGCAGCGCATGCACCATGTTTCTAGGCCACGCGCCTTGCGCCGCGTAGCTGGCACGACATAGTTTACGCCGCACATATTGTATTGTATAGTTTGGGCCAAACTGTTTGCATCACGCAAGTGGCACACTCGTAGTGCACAAACGCAGCGTTCGGGCTCCACGCTAGCACGCATTCCTACTCCATGTTTCGTATAGATTTCTCACCCGCGCGGGGCCACCGCCGTTTTCCCCCCCCTTCTCCGCCCCCCCTTTCTCCGTCGCTGTTCCCTTCAACTCCAGCACTGCCCCCCCCCCCCCCCTTTCTCCCCCTTCTCCGCCCCCCATTTCTCCTTCCCTGTTCCCTTCAACTCCACCACTGCCACCCCCCCCCCTTCCTTCCCGCCGCCCCGCCTCCCGCCACCACCAACCCTCCGTAGCTGTGCCAGCGGATCCCTAAGAGCGCTCTGAGGGGCCCCTCCGGATCCCTAATAGCGCTGTGAGGGGCCCCTTCCTTCCCGCCGCCCCGCCTCCCGCCACCACCAACCCTTCGTATCTTTGCCAGCGGCTCTCCACGAGCGCTGCGAGGGGCCCTCCGAGGTCGAGCCCGTCGTCCGTGTGCAGCCGCCGGCCGTCGCCGCGCAGGGCCAAGAGGAGCGCGCGGCGGGGAGGGGAGCGCTCGGTGGCCCTGGCCCTGCTCGGCGACCTGTCGGCCGCGGCTGCGTGGAACCTAGACCCCGAGAGGCATGCCGCATGCCTTGGCATCGCTCGGACGTGTGCATATTTTCTTCGGCGAGGACCATCGAGGAGCATCCTTGATCACTTCGCGAAAAACCACGCACGAAACCGAACAAAAACATTGGAAATGGACGCCCGAGCGATGGCCAGATGCCGTCAGCCGTGCCCACGCGGGTAATTGTCCCATGCAGTCGCGGACTTCCCTCCGAGGCAGGATGTGTGGCCAGACCGCTGCATGGAACCTACAGTCGGGGCCCTGAAAAAGGAACCCTTTTCGTTGGGGAGGGGCTCCGTGTTCCTTGATTGTTCCACAGCCTGCCTGAGGCTTCCCTTATGTTTTCGACAGGGAGTCGAAGGTTCACTTATGTAAAAAAGAGGCCTCGTTCCTTATTTAGGGTTCCTTAGGTCAACGCCCCGACGGTGACCCCGAGAGGCATGCCGCATGCCGTCAGCCGTGCCCACGCGGGTAATGGCCCCAGGCAGTCGCGGACCTCCCTCCGAGGCAGGATGTGTGGCCAGACCGCAACTTCTGTTGGGCCATTGTGGTTTTGATGTTGTGTCAGCTGTCTTCGATGTTGTCCTACTGTTTCGTTTAAGGTCAGTGGGCCGCGGTACATCCAAGTGTTGAGCGGCAGCCGGCCGTCCACCCTGTAGCCCCATCGCTACGTTATGTGGAGTTTTGCTGCACGGTTCACTCTGCGTTTACTCTTTCATCTCTATCCTCTTGTTCTCTCTCACCCTGGATTCGTCCGCTCCTCGTCCCCCATTACTCCCCCCCCCCGCCGCTCCGCTGTTCCTCCCCTCCCCGCCCCTCCTGTCCTCCTCCTCGTCCCCCCCCCATCGAGTCATTTTCCTTGCGGATAACTCGTCCTTGTCTCACCCCGAGGCTGGTCGAAAAGGCGGGCCGTGCGTTCCGCCTGAGAATTGCCCACCGCCCATGAAATTGAAGCTTGAAAGTCGCAGCCGTTTCACGGATGGATCGCGAGCGGTTTTCAAAATGTGAAGTTGGCGATTTGTTCGTGGATTGAGGGCGGGCCGCTTGCAAGATGTGGTTATCGCCTTACCGCCGCGCGCATTCGTATTTTGTTGGGGGGAGCAGCTTCACGGATGGAAGCCGGGCCCTTTTCAACACGCGGATCTCGCGTCAGCGCCGCGCACATTCGCCCCAACACATACAGCAGTTTCACGGATGGAGGGGTGGTGGTTTTCAAAATGTGGTTTTCGTGTTTTTTTTTACCGCCGCGCACAGTCGTCTGAATCACATACAGCAGTTTCACGGGTGCAGCGCGATTTTTTTCAAAATGTGGTTCTCGCCTTAGCGCCGTGCACAGTTGGATTGAGAGTCTACAGCGCCTTCAAATATTCTCATGGTTAATCTCCCAAACAGGGTGTTTTGCCACAAAGACGGGCTATCAGGGCGCAGCAGTTCTGTTGATTCGTAGTGTTGCAGTCCCAGAATTTGTGTTTTCCCACGGTTCAGGATCGTAAAGACTACGCAGCAGTAGTGGTGATTCGCGGCGGTGATGTCTCAGGAGTTTTCGCCTGTCGGGCGGGGGTTCATGGTATTCGTGCCCTGCGGAGTGGGTAGTCTGTCACTCCTTGGGGGGGGATGGCTCGCACATCGCCCCCTCCCCCCCTCCAGTCCCAGCCTCCCCCGTAGCGAAGAGACCACGCAATAAGCCTTCTCTCCTCCCTTCCCATTCCTCCCCACCACATCGCGGGTGCGGGCACGCCCCAGGCGCCTCCCCGCACCCGCCGCGCGCGCGCGCGAGCGGCAGCTGCCTCGTCGACGTCGCCGCCGTCGCCTGTTGCGTCGACGCGGGTGTCCCGTCAGTCGTCTGTGGTGTTGCCGCCGTTGTCGCCGTCTCGCCCGCCGCGGTCGCCGTCGCCGCTGGTGGCTGCCTGTGTTTCCCTTGACCTGGACCTCGAGTCCCTGCTCGGGCGCGTGCGAGGCCAGCCTAGCATCCTCGAGTCCTAGAATTCCCATCCTCTCCTCCCCACCCCCTCGTCCCCACCCTAGAAGAGAGTTCTGCAGGGTTTTTAGGAGCTGCGGCCTCATGCCCCTTGCCCAAACGGGCACAGGCACGTGCGTTTCGCCACATGAGCCTGCACCGACACCTCGCTCGCTCGCTCGCAACCTCTCGTGTCCCCAACTTCGTGTGCCCCCCAAGCGGCAGGGCCGTTTTTCCTTGTGTTCGAAAAAGTGTCTGCTGAATATGAAAACGGTAAAAGAGCGGTACAAATAACGGCGACGAAATTGGCAACAAGAATGGCAAACGGAACGGGTAGAAAACGGCTCTGTCGCCTCCAGGGCTCGCTAAGGTTCCCACCCTCCCCGTCCACCTCCGCCCCCCTGGTGGACCTGTTTTCCACAGCCACCACTAGTAGGAGGGGGAGGGGGACCTCCTCTCCCTCCTCGTCCTCCTCTTCCCCATCCTCCACCTCCTTCTTCCCTCCAACTCATGGTAGTGATGGTGGAAAGCAGGCCCATCACCCCCTGCCCCCAATGCGAACATGCCGGGGTTCTTCTCTCCGCAGGAGCAGGGCGGAGGCGCTGCAGGCGAGGCGGGGCGCCTCCGAGGACGGAGCCGCCCCGCGCCGGCGGCCACCTGCCACCCGGATCGAGGGCCCCCCCATCCCTTGAGTAGGGCCGAGGGTCAGAGAGGGCCCCCCTCCCTTGAGCAGGGCCCTCCTCCCTGCAGGACCACCAAAAAAGGACGTCAAGGTGGTCAAGCGCCTCGCCGGTTAAGCCGACGAAGATATGCAACATCCAAACATCCGTTCATGTCCAAAGTTTTGGCTTCACGCCGGGTGTGGTGCAGCAGTTTCAGCTTCACCGAACAGGTTGGTTGCGCCCCTTGACGTCCATTTGGGGTCTTCTGCAGACCTGACCCCCCAGCCCTACTCAACCCTTCCCTCTCCTCCTCCCTGTGCTGCTTCCCGTCGCCGTTGTCGTCGTCGTCATTGTCGTCGTCGTCGTTGTCATCGCGGTCGTCGTCGTCGTCGCCTCGGCACCACTCCAGGCCTCCCAAAAGGGGTCCGAGCAGATGGGGTCGGAAGAACGCGCCGCATCGCCGACGCATCGGCGATGCGGCTCGATGTGGATCCAAAATTTCTCCACGCCGATGGCGCCGATGCTTCGCCGACGTCCACGATGCATCGCCGATGCGACGGCGATGCATTGGCGTTGTGGCGCGATCCTGCAGCCCCATCTACCCAGACCCCATTTAGGAGGCCTCTACAAATGGCTCAAGCCAACACGGCTTCGGGCAACAGGAGAGTGGCGGCGACAGCAAAGAAGAAGAGGGGATGACGTTCGGTGGACTGAGGGCACACCTGGGGTAGCTAAGGGAGAGGAGGAGGACGGAGCTGGCGAAGGAGGAAGGTGATAAGAAGAACCGTACCTGGAGAAGGAGGAAGAGCAGCAGCAGACGTGCTGGCAGGCAGCTGGTGAGTTTCCGTATGTCAAGCCAGGTCTTTGGGGGGCTTGCTGGCGGTTTTTTGGGTTTGAGGGCGCAGAAAGTCAATTCGATGTTTCTCTCTTGGGGCCCTCTTGGGGGCCTCTTGGGCCGTCTTTGACCCCTCCTGGGCCTTCTGCGAAAACCGAAGGCCAAGTAAATGATTGGGGCCTCTCGGGGCCCTCTTGGGGAGGCTTTTAGAGTCATTTTGGGACGTTTGGGAGGCCTCTTGGCCTTCAGGAGATCATTCAGGAGGGGAAATAACACACAGACAAAATGCATCGTCGATTCCCCAGAAAATATTGGAAAATATGGGTGGGGGGAAAGACAAAAACCCAGAACATATGGGAGAATATGGGGAATCCTTCTATTTACGTGTATTTATTTGTGTGTCCCAGGGCCCCACGTTGGACGTCTTGGTGCGATCTTCGGGCGACTCCGTGCCCTCTTGACCCGTCGTGTGAGGCTCTTCGGCCCCCTTGGGCCTGCACCGGGGCCCCAGGAGCTCGCCCTGCGCGCGCCGACGCCCAAGGAACGACCGGGAGATGCTGTCAGAGGGGGGACTGGACCAAGGGCTCCCACGAGGGCGCGAGGTTAGTCGCGCTTCGCGCTTCGCGGGCCTCATTCCTCCTCCCCCTCCTCCTCGTCTTCCTCTTCTCCCCTTTGGGGGCGGCGCGAGAGCGCGAAGTTGTTCGCGCTTCGCGGAGCGCGAAGCGCGAAGTTAGGAGCCCTTGTGGACCCTTTTTAGAATCCTGCCAGCCGAGGGTTTTTGTTCGACGCGCAATTGCAGGATCCTTGGGGCACTGCACTGCGCGCTCGAGGCAGGATGGCGGATATATGTGTGTCGTTTTACCCGGATCTGTATGCAGGCCATTCTGGCGCGTTGCCGCGCCCTCGGACGCTTCTGTGAACAGTGCACGCCGGTCGTTGAAAGTAGGTATTTCTGGATTCCCATATCCCAATCTACTTCAAGCGCCTTCCTACTTCAAGAACCGACATGCTTTTGCTGTGTTTTGTTATTCTCTGGGAGGGCCTGGACCCAATCCACTTTATCCGCCTTCCTACTTCATGTTTTTACCTACTTCTTGCGACCGACGTGTGCTTGTTGCATTCAGGGGGTCCTATCTGGTTTCCGAGAAACTCGGCCCGATTTTGGCGTTCCGGCTCGTGCCCGCCTCGTGGCCGCATCGCGGGCATTTGGAGCGCGCGTCACAGTGCTGTGCGTGGATTCGCATTGCTTTACACTGCTGTGCACCGGTTTGTGTTGTTTGCGCTGCTTTGCATTGGATGTGTTTGCGGTGTGTTGTTTCGACATGCTTTGTTTGGGTTTTTTTGTGTCTTGTGCCGTGTTTCGTTGTTTTGCAGTGTTTGGCCTTGCCTTGCATGGGTTGCGCTCACTCACGGTTTGCGGTCCACGTTGGGACCATGTTTCGATAAGTCAATTGGTTTTGAGTTTGCGGATGGCGCTATAGTGATCACGAGGACCATGTACGATAACTCAACGCGCATGTTGCATTCATCATTCTTGTAATGACATCGCGATTTGTCTAAAACCGTTGGATTGGAGGCCACGTTAGTGGACCATTGGAGCGAAATATTTAGTGAATTACTGCATTGCGACCTCCAGGGGCGGTGGCAAATTTGATGACCTTCTGATAACGTATTTCGCAAGCAAACCGCAGGTTTACAATTCTATTCAAGAAACTTACGCAGTTCCGCCGACCCCCAGAAGAGGGGCGACGTTCACGAATGAGGCCTTTTGGTGTCTCTTAGGGAACCCCTCTGGGCGCCTCTTCTGGGCTTCTTGGGGGCCTCTTCGGGCCTGTTGGGTGTTGCTCGGACGCCTGCAGGCGATCTCGGGGGTCCTCTGGGGGCGGATGGCTCGGAATGTCAGTTCGATAGGGGGCCACGTGCGAACCCTACCCCCTACCCCCACGATTTCTGAAGGGGAGGGTAGGGTTCACTCGCACGAAGTGAACCCCACCCTCCCCCTCAGAAATCGTGGGGGGCAGGGGGTAGGGTTCGCATGTGGCCGCCTATTCGAGATGCCTCTCTCGGGGACCTGCTTGGGCCCCCGGGTGCCATCTTTGGGGCTTCCGGGCCTTCTTGGGGCCCTCTTCGGCCGTCTTGGGGACGGGGGCGTCGTGGGCCCCCCTGAGGACGGTCTTGGGGGCCTTTGGAGCTGTTTTGGACGCTGTGAAAACCCAACCTGCGAAGCGGCTAAGCAACAATATGCTTTCCTTCGGGATTGGGACGATGGTTGCTTCTTGGGGTCCTCCTGGGGGTCGTCTTGGAGGCCCCGCTGACCGTCTCGAAGCCATCTTGGACCGTCGTGGAGCTGCCCAGGGCCGTTTCGATGCTCTTTTGAACTGTCTTGACGCTCAGTCTGAGCTCTCTGGGGCCGTCTAGGGGCTTTTGGGAGGCTCTGGAGGCCCACTGACGAGTTCGTACCCCCCCCGTGAAACGAGATGCTGGACCCCAGGGGAGGGGGAATGGGGGAGGGGGACAGTCAAATGTCTCACACGCTTGTTCACCTTTGGCGGATCGGCGGAATAGTGTGGCAGTTTCGTTAGCGGTTGATCGGCAGCGGAGGGTATGAACGGCATCCTGACACCTGACAGAGTTATCGTCAGATATGTTTGCACATTCGAGCCTGTCGCCAAGACGGATTTCGGTATGGAGTTTTGCGGAGTCGATACAGATATGAAAGAGATTTTTCGGAGGTCGTTCAAGTGTTGTTGTGTTTTGTTTCGAATGCAATTTGAGTCAGGGCGCTCCGTGGGAAGAAAGGGACCCGTGGTGGTGGTCACTGCATACTGGGAACAACTCTCGAGCAGAGCAACACGCACCACGACTACGACGGCGCCAACAGCGACGACGGAGACGAGGCGCGAAGACGATCTGCACCGAAGCACGGATCAGGGGAAGGGCCCACCCTCCTCCTCCCCTCTCTCCTCCCCTCCTCTGGGCGAGGAGGAGGACCAGGCAACAGTGTGGGCCACCCCCCCCAGGAGTGCGACGGCCGGCCCGAGCGGCAAGTCGGCTTCATCGTCGACGTGGACGTCGCGCCGCTGGCCTCTGCCGCCCAGGCCCTCCTCCTGCTCTCGCATCCCGCGGCTCCTCCTCCCCAGGCTCCGCTCCTCCCTGCTCTGCTCTTGGTGGGCTTGTGTTCCACCACAAACACCATAAGGAGGAAGGGGAGGGGGTCCTCCTCCTCCTCCTCCTCCTACTTCTCCTTCTCTTTCTCCTTCTCCTCCTCCTTCTCCTCCACCACCTCCTTCCCGGCCGAAGATCAAGTCCAGACTACAACAACAACCACATGGACTACGATGGCAACGCAGGCGCGGCATTATTGCCGCACTCATCAACACGCTGAAAGACCTGGGCTGGGACCTTCAACGCGCCGACTACTGGATCGACCCCCAGGGCGACGGGTGGTTGCTCAGGGAGGAGGACGCGCACGGAAACCCAACCGACGTCATTGACGCGCTGACCAGCCAGGTCGAGCTACAGCAATGGAGACAGGCCAGCAAGCACCACAACGGCAGCGGCCTCGAGAACGGCGCCGACGTGCAAGACCTCATCAGCCACCTCCAGCACCTCGACCGACGGGGCAAGCACCAACGACACGGAGCACTCTTGGCTGCTGCGTGCGCTGGGGCTTGGCCACGGCAGCGCATCGCTGACGCCTACGGCACGCCCAACCTATGCGAATGTGGAGCGCCTGACGACGATTGGAGGGCATCGAGACGAACGCAGCCTTCTGGCTCAGAGGCATTACCCCACGACCCATGACCTGCCCACCACCATGCACTACGGAACCCTCGCACACCTGCGACGGCGACATCCAGCACGGCCAACTGATCGCAGACGACATCCCACTACACTTCTGCGGTGACGGCAGCGGAGGAACCATGTCAGCAGACCGACGGTACCGCAGGTGCGGATGGGGATGGGCTTGCATGGACCACACGACTGTACGAGCAACTATGCGGGGTCCATTACCAGGACCAAGACAGACGAACAACAGAGCGGAGATGTGGGCACTACTCAGCGTGTTACAGAACTCGCAGGGTCCCATCATCTATTGGACGGACTCAGAAGTACTGATGAGGAACTGTAGACGCAAACGGCACAGGACCAAAAAGCACCACTTCGGCAACGGCGACATCTGGATGAGGATAAAGGACGCCATCGACCATCGGGGAGGAGGTGACGAATCCATCACGATAAGACATATGTAGAGCCACCTCGAATGGGAAGACGCACGACGAAGAGATATCCCAGAATGGGCGTCGCTCGGCAACAAAGCAGCAGACGAACAAGCCGACACAGCAGCAGAAGAGCACGCCATACCAGCAGCACAGCTCGGATGCTACGAGTGGGTGCGAGCGGTAGGCAACCTAGTCAGACAGCGTATCACACAAGCCACCCTGGACTGCATGGAACGACGACCACCAATGAATTGGGAAGATCGGGCGAAGCTAAGGAGAGAAGCCAAATTGCGAAGACCACCTGCACCAACTCTTGACGAGCTGGCAACACAGAGTTTGCACCAAGTACAACCGACTCCGACGGGATGGCGCTGCAGAGCATGCGCGCAGTTTGTCCTCCGACGACGAAGAACAACAGCAAGATGGTGGCTTCTCTCCCCATGCAGCATCACGGCGGCAGCAAAGAAACCACCACTAACTCTCAAAGGACGCCAAGCACACAACTCCCACCAGATGGAATGGCACAAGCGAGACCAAGGGTACTACTGCTACAAATGCGGCAGCGTGGCGAAGCACTACATATCGGAGAAACTCGGGCAGGAGTGTGCACCACCTCCACCTAAGTCACGGGCCGATTATGTGGTAAGGGCAAGAAGAAAGCACGCCAACGAACAGCCGACAAACACAACCACGACTCCAGCAACATCAAGTAGTGCAAGGACCGCGACGGCACCGACCACTGACTAGCACTAGGCAGCACAGACTGACGCTACAAGGACCGACTGACACAGCTCAGCACTGAGTGCACGACGACAGCACTGACTGGCGCACCAGCATAGCGAGAAGAGCGATCACGACAAGTACGACGGCATCGAGCCCTCGCACATGGACAACAGGGCCAATATGAAGCACAGCATCATCCTGGACAGCGAGACCTGCGGCTCCATGGAGGTCTGCGGCGAGGCCTGAGAGGCCGCGAAGAGGCCCGCGGCCGCCGCCGCCCCTGCTGGGCCGCAGGCAGGAAGGGAGGGGGCGTCGTCCTGGGGGGAAATCTCGGAAATCTCCACCACCTCCTTCCCCCCTCCACCTTGGTGGTGGTGGAAAATAGACCCATCAGCTCTCTCTTGAACATGTGTTGAAGAAGCGACGGCATCAACGTAAATTTTGGGAGCTCCGCGCGGACTCCTTGCATCGGCGTTTGGTTCCCCTGGCGGCGCCTCCTGCGCCGCCCCCGGCGCGCTCCGCACGCTGGGGGGGAGGGCCCAGCGCCGATCCAAGAAGTCCGCGCGGAGTGAGTTCTAACAGTTTACGTTGACGCCGTTTGCTGTTGCTCCTCAGATGTGGAACCCTATCGTGTGAGAGCTATCTTTGGGGACAACGTCACACGCGAGCCTATCGTGTTGTGGGCGCTGTCGTGGGGGTGTGGGAGGGTCCAATATCGCGGGGCGGGACAGTGCCGTGTTTGACCCTATATTGCGGGACCGTTCTGTGTGGGACCTTGTCGCGTGTGACCCCTTCGTTTGGGACCGTCTCTCGAGGTGCCCTGTGACTCTATCGCATCGTCCAGGATCCTACCGTGTGGGGCCACATCGTATGTGACCCGATGGAAGAGAAGTTGAAGTCCTTACATGACGCTATCACCTGATAGCAAATAGAGAGCTTTTCGGGGGAACCTATCCCCTTGTGACTCAGGGGCAATATCATCTCATCGCAAAGTTGAAATCAAGGCGCAACCGTCGTTTGACGAACTATCCGGTCTCAAACCAACTAATGAGTTCATCGGGGCAAGGGGAACGTGGCGCAGAGCACACAGCACCACTGCCGTCATACATTATTTTGCGAACCGCACGAACCACCTGGCCCTTATCTGCGCCCACGCCTCGGTCTGCGTGCGCACGCTCACTGGCTTGGCCACTCCAGGGGGCAGCGGAGGCCGCATCTGTCGGGGGCGGAAAAGAGGGGGGTGATGACTAGGGGGGGGGGGGGGGGGGGGGGGGGGGGGGGGGGGGGGGGGGCGGGTAGATATCATGGCGGGGGCCATGATATTTCCCCAGATGTCATGGCGTCTCTTCTTATTTCATTACGTCCCTGGCCCCCCTGCTGGACCGCGCACGCGCCAGCGGTCATGATTTGCACCCCCCCCCCTCTTGGACACCCCCCTCTTGGCCGCTCCCGAATCTGCGACCTGTGCCGTACCTGCACCCGCGGGCTAACCCTGCAGTCGCAGGCGGACTCCCTACACGCTTGCCCAGCACACCCAGATATATTTACGCAGGACGAGAGATTTTCCTCTTGAGGTGCAAATGGCGATGATGGCTTGGAAATTAATTACCGAGCCCCCTTCCCCGTAGAATCTTGGCACGGGCGGGTTGCGGGGTCCGCGGATCCGATTTCCTCAGGTTTCCCCTTTGAAGAATTAATAAAATGAATTTTACACGGGATAAAATCGGATCCGCCGTAACAAATAAGACCGAACACGGATCCTGCAAATCCGAAGTCGGATCCGCGCGGACGGAAATCGGATCCACCGAAACAAACACCAGAGCCACATTTGGACCCCCGCGATTTTCATGGGATCCGACGGTGGTTATGTCATACGCGTTTGCTCAAGACTTGAAGCCGTCGTTCTGGGCCCAAGTGGAAAACATTCGTCCTGGAGATGCATGTGCCACTCGAAGTGCAGGCTGGAAAATCCAGCTCGGAAAATTCTCCCGCTCACCCTTGCAGAACTCCGATCTCATGGCCTCCTGGCGTTCTTCGGCCCCTGGTCGTCCTTGTGACGACCGCCCAGGGCAAGCTTTTTCACCTTCTTGGCCGCCTTGCTCTCTGGCGCACGGTCGAATTGAAATGAAGTCCTGAGGGGCTTCAGACACTGAGTGGCGCGAAACAGCGAAAACATCGCCACACCGTTCGGCGCGGCCTTTAGTTTGAAGATCCAGTGCTCCTTGTCATCAGAGAGTCGAGTTCGGCGGCATGTGGAAGCAGCGGTTAGAGAGAAGCTCGCGTCCAGCGTGTGATGTTGCTGTGGCAGCCTTCTCTTGGAGAAGCGCGAGTGTCTGCGCCATTCCCGTCTTCCCCAGATCGTGGAGCTGCGCGATGGGGGGCCTTGGCGCGGCATGCCACTCCTGCGAGAACTAAGCGAGGCGCTGCAGAACGGCGCGCAGCATCGCGCCCTGCTTCCTGCCATACGGGCGGCCCTTGAAGTCCTTGTCTTGGCTAACAGATTTACGCGACGAAGGGCGAGACAGTAGACGCTCTCCTTAGAAGGCACCTCGGCCGGCATTTTCGTGTGACCCTATCTCAAGCTAGACGACCAGAGGGTGGATCAGTGCCACTATTGCCCTGCACATTTGCGACGCCAGTATATGCTTGTCCACGGCGTAGCAACCATTCAATAACGGGTAGCCCGACAGCGAGGGGAATTTCATGGCCACGACTGCTACATTATGCAAGTTCGGCCACATCCAATTGCTCGCGACGGACAACATTGGGATGTCTCTTGGAGCCAGCCAATCTAGAAGCGGATGGTTCGTCTGGCGCGCTGTTGCTCTCAGGTCTCCTAGACCGGTCTGATCTAGAGAAGAGGTGAGTTTTTATATGTCCAGGGGCACAACCTTCCGCACGGAGGGATCCTGCTTTGAGCCCTTGGATGCAAATGTTTGTTGATTCGTTCGAGGTTGTGCGTTCTGCTTCTGGTCAAGACTTGTTGCGTATGCGATGGGCAGACTTTCTCTAAAACGATCGAGTCGATTGCCGCGAGTGTGTGATAGGCGTGTGAGAGAACGGGGGGCTCTGAAATCGCCTCGGACACAGTCTTGTAACATGTCGGACTGCAGTCATCGCAAACGTCTCAGGGAGCACGCGAAGCAGCCACGGACTAGTGTGCACCCCGTCGCGTCCCGCCCAATGTCTCATCAAACCGAGCCATGCATGCTAGACGTGCCCAAGTTTTCCAGAGGATGTGGGAGCGCCATTTTCCTTGACGATCGTGACCGTCGCTCACGCCCTACACCTCCCCTCGTTAGCGCACGAAGAACAGTCTATCATTTGTCCCGCCGTCGGAGACGCCTGCCCCGTGGCGCCTGGAGAGTTTCTACCCCGACGTGCCACCGTAGGAACATCAACTTTCCAGCCGCCTCGGAGCAGGCGCCCCCGACGGCGGAAAAACTTCTGCTCTACCGTTCTCCGTCCGCGAACCTCCTCCCGCCCCCTCGGCGGGTGGACTAAAAGTGTCCACACGTGTCTCGCCAAGACCTTGACGCCGGACCAACATGTATACCCCCCCTTGCCCCAAATACAAAGTTGACGGGTTTGGGCGGTAGGCCAGAGGCCAGGGACAAAATGTGGACGCTTCCTTTTTGGGTTTGGGAGGGGAAGGGGTGCGACGCAAGGACATTTCGCAGCTGTGGCTGTTACCATGTTGCATCGCCTTGCCGCCATGGCCGTGGACACTTTTTGTCTGGGCACCGCTCCTCCCCCTTTGGGTGTTGCTAGAAGTGCCCCTGGCCCAAGGTGCCCCCAGGATTTCCAAGGAGGCCCCCAAGGCCTCCAGAGCACCCCTCACGAGGCCCAGAGGGCCACGGGGGCTCCAAAATTGAGCGAAAAGCTGGGGGCACCTGGGGCCAGGGGCACCTCCAGCAACCCCCGACCCCTGCGCTTCCCGCCGCCTGGATGCCCCCCCGGCAGCAGCGCCAGGTCTCCGCGGCCCCCTGCAGCCCCGGGCAGGCGCGGGCGCTGGCCCCGCCCTCCCCCACCGGCGGGCTGCCAGCAGGCGTCGTGGGCACAGTGTTTTGCCCCCCTTCCGCCCTCCTGCCCCAGTCCGCCCCCGTGGCCCCACCCCTTCCCCTGCGCTCCCCCTCCGTCCCCCCTTCCCCCTCCGTGCCCCCCCCCCCCCCCTCGCCTCCCCCACTGTACCTCTTCCCCGCCCCCTCCGTCACCCCTCTTCTGCCCTTGTCCCATTATCCTGTGTTTCCTCTGGACCCTGGAGATGGATCGAACGAACGGGCAGGGCGACGTCAAGGACGAGGAGGAGGATAGAAAGAGGAAAAAGGATGGGGATGCGGGAGAGGAGGCAGATCATCGGACCGCCGCTTGCGGTGACGCCCGCAGTAGGGTCACGGTGCGGACGGCCGCGGCGGTTGCAAAGCGCAGAAGCATTGACATTGGCGATGCCATCGGGGGTGGACAGACCTCCCTTTAGTAAAACGTGGTTTAGTGAAAACGACCTGAGGCCCAAACCTGGCGGGCGCAGGCCTGGAAAATAACGGCCACGGCGCCCTCTCGAGAACCGAAAACGGACAATTCACTAATCGACGTGTCACTGGTGGGGGTTCTGTCCACCCCCGATTCGGGGGTGGACAGAACCCCCACCCTGACACGTCGATTAGTGAAGTGCCCGTTTTCGGTCCTCTCGAGGGCGCCGCGGCCGTTATCTTCAGGGCGTGCGCCCGCCAGGTTCGGGCCCGAGGTCGTTTTCACTGAACCACTTTTTGCTAAAAGGGGTTCTGTCCATCCCCGGGATGCCGAGATTGGCGCTGAAGCAGATTGGGGGGCCATGTGAGCAACAGACCGAGGCACAGACGGATCCCATGCTCAGGCAAAGTCGAGTTTCGCTCCGACACTCACACCGCGAGGCATCACCAGATGCGGGTCGGCTCCTTGGAGTCTCAGGCTCAGACACGGAGGGGCCTGGCCGACGTCGCAATCATCACGTACAAAAAATTATGCTCAGACAAAGTCCTTGGAGATCTCTGGATTTACCTGGATTTACCCTGATGTATCTCGATTTACCTGGATTTACCTCGATTCATCTGCATTTACCTGGATTTATCTGGCTCGATCCCCACAAGTCGATTGGCGAAAAGTCGACAAGCCCTTAGGGAAAAGTCGAGGGGAAGAACCGATCGGCCGGTCGGTCGCCCCGGATCGCCTCGCAGCGGCTGGAATTGATTCGCATTGACCGAGCCCCTGAGGACCGAGCCGACCGATCGAGGGCCCCCGAGCGGGCCCTGCCCATCCTAGGATTCCTGGGAGTCCTAGGAACCCCCACCCCACCCTTAAGTCGGGCCTGCCCCCCTACAGGGGGAATATTCAAGCATTGTCAAATCAATAGTCCCGGGACGATGTTGTTGACTATTTTCGATTATGTTGGGCAGTGTTTGTCCAAAATCCCCTGTAGGGGGACGGGCCCGACCTAACCCCACCCGGACCCCGCGTTTCGTGTCGTGTCCGTCCCCTATTGGGCACGCCCCCGCACACACCCGTGCGCGCGAGCCGCGCCAGGATGCCAGCGGCGCACGCATCCTAGCGGCTCCAGGCCACGGTCCATGCTACCACAGCTTCCCACTGCCCGTCGCTCTCGCAACCGCTACTCCCCGCACGGCACGTTCAGGGGCAACGATAGGGGGGATATGCTCAGGGGGGAGAGCATCGATCCCCAATCGCCCATTGATCGCCGATAGCCCACCCCACCCAGGAAGGTGCGGCTTGGTTTCGCTATCGAGGGCCGATCGCCGATCTACACCCCCCTGTGCTAGTCCCCCCCTATCCTTGTCTTTCACAGGTGAACCCTCGCCTCCCCCCTCGCCCCCCTCGCCTCCCATCGCCCCCGCCCCCTGTGCCAGTCCCCCTCCCCCCCCTTTCTGTCCGTGTCTCTCACGGGTGCGCCCTCGCCTCTCCCGTCGCTCCCCCCCCCTCGCCTCCCCCCTCGCCCCCCTCGCCGCGCCCCCTGTGCCAGTCCCCCTCCCCTGCGGGCAATATTTCTACCCATACCCAGCGCGTCTTGGACTTTCTTGGAAGGGGCGGCGGAAGGCCGAGGCGCACTGGATATGGAAAACAATTGAGCCTTTTGGAGGCAGATTACAATCCATATCCAGTGCGCCCACTGCTTCTTGGGAAGAGAGTCCGAAACTCAAAGACGCACTGGATGTGGATAAAGACACTGCCCGCATCCCCTGCCCTCCTCTTTCCTCGCTGAGCCCTCGCCTCCCGCGCCCCCCCCCTACGCCATGCCATGCCATGCTCTTCTACGCCATGCCATGCTGTGCTCTACAATGCATCGCGTACCCTTTCGGGATCATTGCCCTGCGACATTCGACTGAGCGAGTAGAGAGGGGATCCGCGCCATGGTAAGGGATGGGAGGGAGGGGTAGGATGTCAGATATGACGCGAGCGCACCTAGCTTGGCCAGCCCCCCTCCCCTGGCCCTCTCTCCTCGCTGGGCCCTCGCCTCCCGCGCCGCCCCCGCCCCCTACAGGCGGACTTGGACAAACACTACCATGCAAAAATATGCCAACAGGGTCATCTTATAATCGACAAATCGTCCCCAGACGATGTTTTGAAACTATTTTTGAACAGTCCTCTTTCCTCGCTGAGCCCTCGCCCCCCGCCCCGGCCCCCCCCCCTCCCCCAGCAGGCGCCGCGCCGCCGCCGCAGCGCGCCCCCCCCGCGTGGCGGTGCGGGCCGGGGCCCGCCGCGGCGGCCCCGCGGGTGCGCCGCCGCGCCGCGCGGGCCCCCCCCACGCCCCGCCCCCCTGCGGGGCTGTCCTCGCGGGGCTGCCCCCCCCTCCCCCCCCCCCCCCCAAGCTCCTCCTCCTCCTCCTCCTCCTCCTCCTCCTCCTCCTCCTGCTCCTCCTGCTCCTCCTCCTCCTCCCCCTCCCCCTCGCTGAGCTACGCTCGCAGCCCTCGCTCAGACCCAGACCCCTCGAGCCATGAGCAAAAATCCTGGCTCCCCCCCCCCAAGCTACGCTCGCAGCCCTCGCCCAGACCCAGACCCCCTCGAGCCACGAGCAAGAATCCCGGGCGGGGGGGGAGGCTTCTCGCCGCTTGCGGCTTCTGGGGGCCCCTGCAGGGCCTCGGAACCGTCAGAAAACGATGCAGGCTGCATCGCCGGCCCCGGAGACAGGGTCGAAACCTCTGGGGGCCACGGAAGAACCATGACGTCGGGGGGCCCGGACCCGCCCCCCAGACGTTCGGGGCTCTCTCTCGCCAGGCGGAGCACCGCGAGGCTCGCTCCCTCCAGACCTCCGCGCTCGCTGCTCTGATGCCGCGAGGTCCTCGTCCTCCTGCTCCTCGCCGCCCTCGCTCTCCGCTCCTACGCCTGGCCCCTGGGCTCCCCCCTCTTCCTCCCTCGCTCCCGCCGCTCTCTCTCTCTCTCTCGCCCTCTCTCTTTTTTGTTTTCTCTCTCTCTCTCTCGCCCTCTCTCTCTTTTTTGTTTTCTCTCTCTCTCTCTCGCCCTATCCCCTCCCTCCCTGCCTCCCTGCCCCCTAAGCGCTCGCTCGGACTATGGTGGCGCCGGAGCTGCGGGAGTCCTCCTGCCAATTGCCTCCCCTGAGAGCGCCGCGCCCCCCCCTCTTCCCCCGCCGTGTCCTCTGACTCCCTGTCGAGCGACCGCGGAGGAAGGGGGCAGGAGGAATAAGAGGAAGACGACGAGGATGAAGGGAAGGACGAGGACGACGAGGACCACAAGAACGATGTTTCACGCACACGCCGAGGCGAGACGAAAGACGACGAGAGGAATAAGAGAAAGACTCCTTGTCGAGTGACCGCGGGGGAAGAGGGGGATTGGGAAAGGGGGGGTTACGAAATTTGCTGCATGCAGCTGGTTTCGGCCTCGCCGAGGGGCCCATTCCTCGATACATAGCCGCCTCCGGCGCCGGGAGGCGCCGGGAAAATCAGCTACGTGAGCTGATTCTCAACCCCCCCCTTTGTTATCCCCCCCTGTCGCCCGACCCGATTGTCGAGTAACCGCAGAGGAAGGGGGCAGGAGGAATAAGAGAAGGACGACGAGGATGAAGGGAAGGACGAGGACGACGAGGACCACAAGAACGGTGTCGAGGAAGACGGCCCTCTCCGGGCCGCCTCCGCGACGTGGGGCACCGCACTTCCGTGGGTCTACATGCCCGTCGCCAGGTTCACGCGCATGCCGAGGCCCTCACAGAAATGGGGCTGCTTGCGCAACACTGGCGAGACCCGTCATGACCTGAGGTCCCAGAGGTAACAGGCCAGCCACAACTGGGGGAGCTGTGGTCCTTACCCCCCTGGGGGACCCATCGATTTCGACACCCCTCTCGAGAGATCGTCGATGCGATGGGTTCCCCCAGGGGGGTAGGGACCACAGCTCCCCCAGTTTTGGCTGGTCGGGGATGGCATTTGGGAGCCGGCTGGGGGTCTGAGGTTGGCCAGCATTGGTTCTGGCGAGCAGGAAGGGGGGGGGGGCGGGGACGAGGTTTTGAGGTTCTGGGTCTGGGCAGGTTTTTGCCTTTTTCGGCTTCGGGAGGCCGTTTTCGGGCCCTGGGGCCTTCAAAAACGTACCGGGGGTGAAAAATTCCAGCAGACGGACCCGGGATGGGCCTGGGGACCGATTTTGAGAGGATTTGCTTTATCCACCAGTCTTGACAGATGTGTTCTCGGGGTTCAGACCCCCTGGCCGCCTCCACCCCTGAGGCAAGTTCCATGGGGCATTGGCCTCTATGCTACCACATGGCCAGCCCGTACCGAGGCCAAAGCCCACTCTTCACAGTGGCAGCGCGGCCTCCCCTTCAACGACCTGTGCGGTGGCGACCAGCGGAAGGCTCGGGCCCAAGTCTCCGCCGACGAGTCCCCCCCTCAGCCCTTGGGGCGACCAAGCAGAGGAGACCCAGGAGCACACTGTCTGGCGCTGCCCGTGCTGCAGCGCCGCCCCCTGATGGTCTCGGAGGCCCCGTGGGCACGCTCCCGCCCCACACTGGGCGTTGGGCTCCCAGTTGAAGGCCCCAGGTTCCTGGACCTCCAGACGGGCATGTCCTGGCATCGCTCGGACGTGTGCATTTTTTCTCGGCGAGGGCCATCGAGGAGCATCCTTGATCATTCGGCGAAAAAGCAACGCACGAAACCGAAAAAAGCACAGGGAATGGACGTCCGAGCGATGGACAGATGTTCCGTAGCCCGCTGTCCCCGCCCGTTCCGCCGGCCGTCGTGTTCGCGGGCGCCCTCCGCTCTTCCACAAGAACTGCCCAGCCCGCCCACGGCCCATCGCCCACTCCCCCCCGTCGCTTCCCCCCCTTCACCTCCCTCTTCCCTCCCCCGTCCCCCATCGAGTACAGTCATGGCGCTGAAATGATGTCCAGTTCGGGTTCAGAAGGGGCTTGTTGGTTCCTTGGGACAGCTTGCGTTCCCTCGCAGATTTGCCAAGATGCCCGCTCCTTAGGCTCTTCGGCAGAGGGAGGGGCCACTGCCAAAACGAGAGGCAATGACGAGGAAACGCCTCGAGAAAGGGGCTCGGCCATGCCTTACACATGTGCGGCTAGATTTTCTCCAGTCAGTGCTTGCACTGAAGGTGGCCTAGCGGAGATTGAAAGATTTGGCGAAAGTACCGGGCCGATTTCGGTAGGTGGCCGGGTTCCCGGGTTCCCGGTTCTTGGTTCCCCGGTTCCCGGTTGTTGGTTCCAGAGATTTCGATGTGCGTCGGGGTTCCCTGGTTTCCAGGTTCCCGGGTTCTTGAGCGATCTCTTGATCGATCGATCTCACCATCGATCTCACTACCCACCTCTCTATTGATCTCTGTCACAATCGATCCCTCTATACTGATCGCACGAGTGATCTCACGATCGATCTCACGATCGATCTCACTGAATCGACTTCACGATCGGTCTCACGATCGACCTTATTATCGTCCTTACTATCGGTCCTACTATCGGTCTCACCATCGATCTCACAGTCGATCACCATATCCATATTACGATGTTTCAAACCGTCCACTGATTGTTTTGTTTCTCAAGTGTAATTTTAGAAAAGGGGTTCGTTCCTTACTCATCATTCCCTCTAACCGTGCCATGACTGTACGCTGACCTCAGCAACGCCGCCGTTCGACGACGACCCCCACCCCTCTGCACCCGCTGCCATTCCCCGTCCACGCTCCTGCCCAGTCCTCTCCACGCCGCTCTCCCCGTCCCCCCCTGGGGGCCCTTCGGCGCGGAGGCAGCAGTCGCGGGCGAAGCTGGTGCCGTGGGAGATGCCCCTCTGCAGCGGCCGGAGCGCGCGGTGGCCAGGAGAGGGTCATCATCGGCAGAAGGGGGAGGAGGATGCAGAGGTCCGAAATTTGCTTGGTTTTGCCCACGTCGTGGTTGCCGAAGAGTATCGAGGGTTTTTGCAGTTCTCAGAAGGGGCTCGAGGAAGTACTCGAATGCGACGTACCGACGGGTCGTACGAGCAGTTTGTGTGTAACGTTGTCATCGACCAAGTTCGCGAGGTGATTGTCTCAGAATGCAGCGCCCCCCCCCATGATCAGCAAGGAAGTGGGTCTCAAGATTGGGTGTAGTGCAATTCGCTCGTTTTGATTAGACCTCAAGCTCTGCGGCGACAATCGCACTGGCAATGGCAGCTGCTGTTTGGCCCGAAGAAATCGTCCAGGTGACGCAGCATCGGCCGCATCATATGCCACACCGGACTTGGCGGCTTTCAGCACCAACGAAGCGGAGACCAGCCCACAGTCGCAGGCCACCTTCGGCAGCTCGAGTAAGGTTCCCAGGAGTGTTTGACTGGTCTCGTTTTGCGGTGGCGCCGACTCCTTGTACCCTCGTTTCTCAAGCCATTGGTCAGGAGCGACAGAAGGACGTACACGTACATGAGTCCACGCTGGTTTCGAGAGTACGCATTGCCCGAAAGTTCGTATCCCGCGGCCAGTCTCGCATATCAAGGGGCCGTGTTCACGTGCATAGCTGGGCGCGTACGTCCTGTGTGGGCTCCCTAATTGGGAGGGTCTCTGGGTCCCCGCTCGGTGGCCGCCCGCGGGCGCCGCGTGGGCGCCCCGTGCTCTGGGATGGCCCCCCGGGAGGGTTTTGCGCGGCGGCCGCCCTGGGGGTGGCCCCTTTGGGCCTCTTGGGGGCCTCTTGGGGGCCTCTTGGGGGCCTCCTGGGGGCCTCTTGGGGGCCTCTCAGTCTTGGGGGCCTCTTAGGCGCCCCCCCCTGGGGCGCCTCGCGGGCGCCCAGGGCGCCGGGACGGTCCCCCGGGGCGTTTCTCTCTGGGGGGGTGGCCGCCCGTGGGCGCCTCGTGAGCTGGGAAGGCTCCCCCCGGTCTTCGCGCGGGCTGGCCGCCCGGCGGCGCCTCGTGAGCGCCTCGCCTCGTCTCGGGGGGTCCCCAAACGGAGTGGTGACCGCACCGTGCGGTGAGTCGGTGGGGATTCGGGGTCACCGCGCGGTCTTGGGACTCGGGTCGTTCTCCGAGGATGCTTCGGGCGACGGGGGCCTCCAGGGTCCCAGGACAGTGCGGTGACGGACCGTGCAGTGAGGTCTTGGGGGCTTTCGAGGTCACCGTACGGTCTGTCACCGCACCGTTTCGGGACTCCAGATCGTAGGCAGCAGCACATCTGTTGCACCACATCGCCTGCGCCACGTCTGTCGTACCGCTTAGTTTGCACCACATCTATCGCACCAGTGAGTTTGCACCACACGGCTTGCACCGCATAGACTGCACCACCTCGCCGGCACCACATGGCTTCCACATCAAGGGCGCGATGCTTCCCGGTTTGGGGGATCCACGCTGGCAGCATGTCAGACGCATTCTTTCGACAGGGCATGTTGCTGGCCGTGCAAGGACGCTATGGGTCAGACCCATACGCATAAGAGTTGGCACACTGTTCTATGCAGGCCATGTCCCCACGCCCTAGATTCTTCCGTCAGGCGCAGGTGTGGCCCACCTCTTTCATCCCTTTCCTGTTCCTGCCTCCCTTCCCTCTTCCTGTTCCTGTTCCTTTTCCTTTCCTGCTCCTTTTCCTTTTCCTTTTCCTTGTCTTTTCCCTCATCCTTTTCCTTTTCCTTTTCCTCCCTCCCTCTTCGACTGTCCACTCGCGCCCCCCAAGCAGGTGGAGCTGGTCGGCGGACTGACGGAGGCACCCTGCAGGGGAAAGGCATTCTTGGATGGTTGAATGGCTGGTAGTCGGGCAGGCAGCTGGCGGACCGCTCGGGCGGGGACCTCGACCTCCTCCTTCTCGGAGTTCTCGCTTTCCTCGTGCCCTCGGCCATGCCGATCTTGCTGACGGTGCTGTTCCCCCTGTTCCCCCTCCCCCTCCAAACTCCATTCTCCCTCCCTCAGCCCCTCTTTCTCCTGGCCGCCCTCCATCATCTGTGCTCCTCCTCCTTTCCACCATGATCCCCAATATCTTCCCCCTCCGCCTCCCCTCCCGCCCCCCCCCTCCCCCCTCCTTCGTCCCTCCCCTCCGCCTCCCCTCCCATCCTCCGCCTCCTCCCCTCCCCCCGCCCCCCCTCCTTCTCCCCTCCCCTCCCCTCTTCTGGGCGGCGGGAGGGGCGGCCCGCTCGGGGCCCCGCGCCCTCCGCCGCGCCGCGGAGGCCTCGATCCTGCGCGCCGAGGCGGCGAGGGAGGTCGCGCCTGTCGGGGCCGCCGAGGCCCACCCGCGCCTCCGTGCGCCCCCATCGGCCCCGCCCCCCCCGCCCCAGGCCCGCCCAATGCTGCCCTGTTGCACCTGCCCCGCTGCCCCCCCCATCCCCATCCCCTTCCCCCCTCTGCCCCCGAGCACTCCCCTCCCTCCCCCCCCCCAGGTCCTCCCCAACGCCCCTTTCTGTCTTCCCTGGTGTGTGGTTTTTCCCACGCCCCCTTCCTCCGCCTCATTGGGCCGCGTCGTCACTGCGCAGACCGCCGCGAACATCGGGCGCTCCGCAGCACATGAGTGGCTGCGTTCGGCGTGTCTCGCACTTGACACCACCTCTCACGTCTTCTCCCCCTCCTGTCCTCGTGCCCGCCCCTGCCTGTCTCCGCCCTCCTGCTCGTGCGAACTCATCGCCCATCCCCGTGCCCGCTCCCCTCTGCCCTCCTACCTCGGGGAGTTCCAGAGCCCACGACCTCGTAGACTTCTGAGGGAGGCATCGCGCATTCTGGACGGCCGAGCACGAGGAATGGCCAGCAGCTTGCACCGACGTTTGGAGGAGCAGGAGGAGGAGGAGGAGGAGGCGGCGGCGGCGGCGGCGGCGGAGGAGGAGGAGGAGGAGGAGGAGGAGGAGGAGGCGGAGGCGGAGGCGGAGGCGGCGGAGGAGGAGGAGGAGGAGGAGGAGGAGGAGAGAAAGAGAGAGAGAGAGAGAGAGAGCGCGAGGAGGAGGAGGAGGAGGAGGAGGAGGAGGAGGAACTCTGCGGTTCTCAGGTTGGGGGCTGCCGAGGGCGCGAGCGCAGAGCCGCGCTCACATCGGAGCCGCGCGCGGATGCTCATGGAGGATCATCGGGCCGGGCGAAAGGGGGGGATTGGGAAAGGGGGGGTTACGACATTTTTGCTCCATGCAGCTGGTTTCGGCCTCACCGAGGGGCAAATTCCTCGATACATAGCCGCCTCCGGCGCTGGGAGGCGCCGGGAAAATCAGCTACGTGAGCGGATTCTCACCCCCCCCCCCCTTTGCTATCCCCCCTTTCGCCCGACCCGAGATCACACACACACACACACAACGCCGCACCGTTCGTTTGAAGGAAGCCTCTGCTGGCAAGCAGTTGAGGTAGTTTGGAGTCTTAGGGTCGCTTTGGTGGCGACCACAAGTTTGAGGATTCGTTTGAAGGAAGCCTCTGCAGGCAAGTAGTTGAGGTAGTTTGGAGTCTTAGGGTCGCTTTGGTGGCGGCCACAATTTTGAGCCAGAGTGGCTGTCTCAAGTGTGACCGTTTTGGTGCCGTGCAAACAAAAGCAACAACAAACAACAAACAAACAACCGCACCTAGACGGCGCACTGGGACGGACATATTACGAACTCGCACATGCAGGAACACCACTCACAACCCAACTACGCCACGCAGGGGGAAGGGTATGCAAGCACCAGCAATCATTGTACTTGGTGGCCCGCTGTTCGGTACCCTGCAAGCGACAGTCTCCATGGAGGATCAAAGAGCCCCCTATTCCCTGAGGGCTTGTCGACGTTTCGCCCCTCGACTTGCTGGGATCGAGCCAGATAAATCCAGGTAAATGGCAGACTCCAGGCAAATCGAGAGACATCCGGGTAAATCCAGGTGAATCGAGCGATCTCCAGGGAGAGCTGGAGCAACGCCGCTCCAGCGCGAGTCGAAGGACGGCAGATGCGCGCGGATGCTCATGGAGGATCACACACGCCAAGCCGCACCTGGACGGCGCACCGGGACGGAAATGTTACGAACTCGCACCTGCAGGACAACCGCTCACAGCCAACTGCGCCACGCAGTGGGAAAAAGGTAGGCACGCACCCGCAATCGCTGTACTTGGTGACCCGCTGTTCGGTACCCTGCATGCGACAGTCTCCATGGGGGACCGAAGAACCCCTAGTTCCCTGAGGCCTTGCCGACGTTTCGCCAATCGACGTGCTGGGATCGAGCCAGGCAGATCCAGGGACATGGCAGATACATCGAGGTGAGCCCAAATCAATCCAGGTAAATCGAGATACATCCGGGTGAATCCAGCGATCTCCAGGGAAAGTTGGAGCAACTCACGGCCGCTCCAGCGCGAGTCGTATGACGGCAGAAGTCGTTGAGCCTTCAACGATTAATTTTAATAGCACGATGAAGACGTAGCCTCACTGAGGTCCCCGTCTTCGCATTATGGGTAAGACATCTGGGCGGTTTGGTTCGATACATCTGCAGAAAAGGCCCCCTATCCCCAATGTTCCAGGCTCTCCCAACTCAGGTCCTCTCCCAACGGGTTTAGGGGTCCTTCTTTGATTAATCAGATGTCGGTTGGAGCGGAGGAGCCAGATAGATTGGATTCGGCTGGGGGTCCGAGGTTGCCCAGTGATGGAGCAGGAAGGGTGGGAGGGGGTTCGAGGTTCTGGGTACGGGATGAGTGGTTTGCCTTTTCCGACCTCTGGGGGGCCGTTTTCGGAGCCCGGGACCGTCAAAACCGGATCTGGGGTGGAGGGGTCCGGGAACCGATTTTGAGCGGAGTTGTTTTCCCCCCCTTCTGGACCGAATTTCTCGGGGCCCAACCAGCTTAGATCCCCTGGCCTCCGCCGAGGGATAGCAACCAGCGAGCGCGGAACCGCATTCATCAGAGCCGGCCGCGACGAAACGCCGATCTTTGCAGGTGTTGGAGAGCCGACGAGTCGGATAGTAGCCAGCGCCGACAAGGACGAGCTGCACGATTCAGAGGAGTCGTGGGGCGCTGAGGGCTATCATCCAACACGCGCGGTCCACGGCAGCGGCGCGTCTGCGGTGATCATTGGCAATGCGGCCCCGAAGAGCCACTGCCGAGAGTTCGTCGGGCAACTCCTTCCCAGTGGGGCAAGCGAGGGGTTCGGGCACGGCGACGGGTCGACGGACGCAGCGCCACTTCGACTCGGCTTAGCATTGTGGACCACGATCAATGGAGAGGAAGCATGTTGCCAAATCATCTCCAGATGCTTAACATGTTTCAAGCATGTCCGAAACATGTAACAAACCTGTCTTGAACATTACAAGAGCATGTCTCAAACAGTTTAAGCACATTCTCAATTCAATTATCGGATTGCTAGGGTGTCCATAGACATGGCATCCACAAGTCTGTCCGATTCGATGCCGATTCTGGCCGGCTCCATCCGATTCGATTGCCACATTCCGAAGATATTGGGTCGGTCCGATGCCTGCATGGCGCTGTTGTGCAGCCTGGCGCAGCCGATCCGATTCGATTTCCATTCCGTGCCGATGCGGCCCGATGCGATGCACGTGTGGAGTCGGTCCGATCTGCCGATTCGATGCTGACTGATCCTGCGGAAGAGGGGCGCCGCATGCTGCGCGGCATCGCAGGCCTTCGGAAGGTACAGTGAGCGGCTTGAATAAGGAACACTTACTTTCCAAAAGGGGCTCGGTCGTTCCTTAGGTTTGCATGCGTTATTTACAGTTCCTTATGCGTTATTTATTATTTATGGTTCCTTACGCGTTATCCCTTGGGATAGAAAGGAGCTTTGTTCATTATTTATCGTTCCTTGGGTCAGGCCGATGGCTGTAGGCCGCGTGCGTGCGCGATCTGGGCGTGGGTGCACCCTGCTCGCTCGGCCTACTGGCGAGCAGGTCTCGGCGGCGTCGAGGCGACGGTCCGGGGGGGAGCTCGGGGGAGCGTGCGGATGCGCTATCGCGGGCCTGGCTCCGACCTCTCGACGATGTATCATGGCCGATTCATCCGACGAAGGCATCTATCCACCACCACCTTGCCACGCCAGGGCCATCCTGGGCCCCAGGATGGTGTATAGACCCTCTTGGCCTCGGCCAGGAGGGCGTATACGCCATCCTGGGGCCCAGGATGGCCCTGCCTTGGCACGGTGGTGGTGTATAGATGCCTTCTGCGCAGATTCAGGGTCGATGTTCCCCCTCGACCTCCGGTGCGGGCACACTTCGGGCGGGGCTGGGGACGAGATCCGTTCCAGAGCGTTCCGGAACGCTCTCGGAACGTTCCGGCACGCTCTGAGAAGGCCGCGGCGCCCGACACATCCTCCAGAGCCGCCTGATATGTCTCCTCGTCCTGGCAGTGTCTTACCACTGGCGTCCTCCGATCGCCGAATGCGCCGCGACGGCTGAGGCTCGCGCGCTTGGGTGGGTCTGCCCTGGGCGGGTGCTTCTGGTTGACCCGCAAGGGGGTCCAGCTACAAGGGGGTGGTGCAATAGACCTGGTGCAATAGATTTGTGGGTTGCAATAGATTCGGGGCGTGCCCAAAAAAGCACCCCTGGGCACAAATATATTGCTGGATTTTCGCGTGCAATGCATTCGTTGCAAGACAACGCAAAACAATTTTTTGGCGCAGTATCTTTACAACACAATTGCCCCACATCTATTACACCACCCCCTCGCAGCTGGACCCCACCGAGCGCGTTCCACTGCTCGCAAAGTGCCTACTCGCAAACGTCCGAAAAAACACACGTTCGCCTCGATGCAACTTCTCGTAAATCCTCCGCGGCTGATCCAGGCCGCCTACGAGTGGTGACTCTTGCGAGCAGTGGAGAACGCGCTTGCCCAGTCGTCGACAGTGCTGGGCGCTCCTGGGGCGGGGCCACGGGTCGGGACGCCGAGGGCGACGCCGTGGACGCGCTGGCTTTCCCGGGGGGGGGGGGGGGTCGTCCAGCACTTAGTGGGCCCTGGAAACGACAGGGCCGTTTTTCCCCGGTTCCGTTTTGCCGTTTTTTGTTGCCAGTCCCGACGCCGTTTTTTTACCGGTTCCGTCGCCGTTGTTTGACCGGTTCCGGCTCCGGTTCCAATCCTGGAGCCGTTTTTGTTGCCGTTTCCGGTCGCCGTTTCTTTGCCGTTCCCATTTTCAAGGGACATTTTTTTAGAAACGGTGAAAAAAACGGTTCTGCCGTTTCCGGGGCCCACAAAGGTCCAGCAGCAGAGGCGCAGGGAAGCAGCGAGCCCGATGATGTTCCAGCCTGCCTTTGGCTGGACCACCAGCAAGAATCTCGGGCACCAAGAAAGCACCGAGGCGACCGCCTCCACCGAGGCGACCGCCCCCACCGAGGCGACCGTCTTTGCAACAAACTGAGCTGGCAGCCCACAGTGAGCGTTGATTTGCGGCTTTGATATGCATGCCACGGCCAGCGCTCATTCCGAACCGTGCTCCCAGCGAAAAAACACACATCGAAGCGAGATGTTTCACGTGTCTGACACCGGGAGGCGATACTCGTTCGGCACCTCGCCAGCGTGTCGGGCAGACACTGTTCTGATGCCTTGCGGGGTGCGCGAACTTACTTCTGGGATGTGGCCTTGAAGTACGACGGGAACAACATGAAGCCGAGCCCTGCCCTTGGCTGGCAGATCGTTGGAGCCTTGTGTTCTCTCGTAGCTTCGTCGTTCGAGAGTGCGCCAGTGTCGATTCGCGTCTGGTAATCGATCGGGTGGCGCCGACTGGCGTCGAATGTCTTCGATTTCGCGTCGACTAGAGTCGTCTCGCAAGAGCCGAAGAGATGGTATGGGAGGCCCCCATGGGTTGTCGCAGAATTGCTCCCCCGATGATCGACACCGAAATGGCGACCGTGGAGGACGACCCACTAGTGGGCAACACAGCATCTGGGAGGTAGGTGGAGGGAGCTCGGAGCTCGCGTGCGTAGTCGTGCAGGCTTTGCATCGTCTTTGATCGCCTACGGAAGCCACTTAAAGTGGGAGGTTGCCTGCAACGTTTGTCTCGTTCGTGCAGCCTGGGGACATTTTCGTGAACCCAACGTGCAATGTACGGTTACAGACGCAAGACAGCCGCAACATACTTGCGTTCTGATTATTCTCTGCTGAGACGAGCAGAGCGCTGCCATCCCCACCTCATGTCCCCCCGCGCGCGCTTGACGCATCCAGCTTGCGCGATGTGGTGGAGCGCGGTCGCTCTACTCACGATCTTTCCAACGGGTGCATGCTTGGCGGGCGGGGGGGTGCGAGGACGAGGAGGAGGAGGCGGAGGAAGCGGAGGAGGAGGAGGAGGAGGAGGAGGAAGAGGAGGAGGAGGAGAAAGAGGAGGAGGAGGTGGCGAACGGGTGAGACCCAAGAGTGTGTCGGCAAGTGACGAGCACACCTCAGGAGCGGGAGGACCTGAGGGGCCGCAGCCGCGGCAGGCACCAGGGCACCGTCGGGGTCTCGGGCAAACCCCGACACCAGGAATCTTACAGAGGAGGAAGAGGTGGAGGAGATGGAGGAGGAGGAGGCGGAGGAGGAGGAGGAGAAGGAGGAGGAGGAGGAGGCGGAGGAGGAGGAGGAGGAGCAGGCGGAGGAGGAGGAGAGAGGAGGAGGCGGAGGAGGCGGAGCGGAAGCGGAGGAGGAGGAGGAGGAGGAGGAGGAGGAGGAGGAGGAGGAGGAGGAGGCGGAGGCGGAGGCGGAGGCGGAGGCGGAGGAGGAGGAGGAGGAGGAGGCGGAGGAGGAGGAGGAGGAGGAGGACGACGACGACGTCGACGACCGCGACGGTGAGGGCGGAGAGCGGCGGCCAGCTCCCTGGTGAGGCCGCCGCGGTGGTGGTGCTGCGCGACCACGGCGACGAGGCGGCGGGGGCGCCCCCTGGCAGGCCTTGGGCACCGCGCCCTCGCCCGGAGGCCAGCCATGGGCCCTCTGGCGACGCCGCCGGGGCCGGCCCGGGAGCGCTGCCGCGGGAGCGGGGCGACGAGCAGGCCAGGGCGCCAACCCTCCCGGGCGGGGGTGGGGGGGGGGTTCTAGTCCTCCCAGGTGGGGTCGGAGCAGGTGGGGTCGGAGGATCGCGCCGCATCAGAGATTCCCGATTCTTGTCCGTACCCGATGTTATCCTCGTCCTAGCTTTAGGCCGGGCCCGTCAATCTACAGGCGGATTTTCGAAGAAAAATAACGAGTACCCCAAACGTATTCAACAAATATTCAAAAATGGTCAAAACATCGTCCCCATATTGTTTCTTGGACTATTTTGAATATTCCCTCCTGTAAAGGGACAGGCCCGACTAATCCTAGCTTTGTCTTTGCAGGAGCGCCGAAAAGCCACAGGACAGCGAGGGACTGGCAGTGTAGCTCAACATCGGCACAGTGGCCAGGGAGACCCTGCTCGAGGGGGCGTCGGGGCGGCGTTCGCCGAAGAGCGGGGAAGCGGTCGGGACGTGTGCGCGCTTTCCCGCCGCCCGCCAGATAGATAGCTCCCTCCCGACGGGCCTGTCCCTGTACAGGGGGAATATTCCAAAATAGTACAAAATAGTCAGGGGACGATTTTTGATTATTCTCTGGCTTTTTTGGAATACGTTTTGGCTATTTCTTGCTTTTCGTCCCATATCCCCCTGCAGGGGGACACGCCCGACCTAAAGATAGATAGCTCTCCCCGCCTTGATGTCAGGTTGTGATTAACAAATGGGCGACGCGAAAAAACGGGGTCGTCTGCGCCGACGTCGGCGCGTAAGCTGCCCGCGTAAGCTCGCGCGCAAACGCCCTCTTGTCCAATGCAGCGTGCCGCGCCGGCGGACCGCGTAAGCCACCGCTTAAGGTCGCTGCGTCATCTCGCGTAAGCCCCGTCTTTGCTCGTCGCTCACATGAGGCCCCCTTTGGGGGTTTGATAAGTAGACCCCGTGTTGCGCGAAACCATGTTTTCTAATCGCGCGCGCCAGGGGGCCGTCGCGAGCGCCGTCGATGGGATCGTGCACCCCCCCTCCACGGCAGCCTCAAAACGATTGTCCTTGGTTTGAAAGATGTGATAGGGATCGTATACATCCGAGGCAAAGTGTTTCCCCCTCTCAGGCTGGTTACTGACGCGCCACAGTCGTAGTGGTCGTCGTCGTCGTCGTTTCGTCGTCGTCTCGTCGTCGTCTCCTCGTCGTCGTCTTCGTCGTCGTCGTCGTTTACCTCGGTCCAGGCCTACGCAGCACTTCCCTCCAATGTTGTATCCGCAGACCGTCGTCGTCGAGCGTTGTTGACGTTGTCTGTTTCGTCGTCGGTTCCGTCGTCGTCGTCGTCGCCGTGGTAGTCGTCATCGTCGACTACAGCACTACAGCGGGCCTAAGCAGCGCCTCCCTCCCATAGGACATCCGCAGTGCGTCGTCGTCGCCGTCGTCGTCTGTCGTCGTCCTCGTCCTTTCGTCGTCGTCGCCGTCGTCGTCGTCGTCGTCGCCGTCGTCGTCGTCCGTCGTCGTCGATTACAGCGGGCCATCGCAGCACATCCCCCTCCGCAGTGCGTCGTCGCCGCCGTCGTCGTCGTCGTCGCGTCGTCGTTGTCGTCGTCCTTTCGCCGTCGTCATCGTCGTCGTCGTCTTCGCCGTCGTCGTCGTCGTCGTCGTCGTCGTCCGTCGTCGTAGTCGTCGTTGTCCGCCGTCGTCGATTACAACGGGCCTGCGCAGCAACCCCGACCCCACCCATAGGGCATCCGCAGTGCGCCGTCGTCGCCGTTGTCCACGTACTCGTCCTCGCCCTCGTCGTTGTTGTCGTCGTCGTCTGTGTCGTCCACGACTTCGTCGTCGCCATTGTTTCCGAATGCAGCTAGGGCATCCGCAATGCGTCGTCGTCGTTCTCGTCGTCTTCGTCGTCGTCGTTGTCGTTGTCGTCGTCGTTGTCGACGACTACAGCGGGCATGCGCAGCACCCCGGCTCCGCCCCCCCCACCCCCTGGAACATCCGCAATGCGTCGTCGTCCGCCGTGGCCGTTGCCGTCACCGCCGTCGTCGTCGTCGTAGGACGTTGTAGCGGACGAGGGCGGGGGAGGGAGGGGGAAGGAGAAGGAGGAGCTCTTTCCGTCTGCCTTTTCCGTTCCCCCCTCCACGGCTTGTAGCCATGTCGGCACCGCCCGCCAGCGTGAGCGCCTCTTTCCCCGCCTCCTCTTTCTCTCCTGTCTGTAGCCATTTCGGCCCAACTGTTCCGCTATATTGGAGGCGCTGCTGTCCCCCTCCGGTGAAGCGGCGCCGCGTGCGTCGCGCTTGTCGCCATCTTGCAGCGGCCGGGCGTCGGCGCTAATCATTGGCGCCGCCGCCGCGCGTTTCGATTTGGCGAGCGCCCCCCCCCCCCCCCGATTCGCCCGAGCAGCGGCACATTTTTTTTTAATCACGCGTCCCCATGTTCTTGTTAATCACGAGCTGACATTCCAAATACCTTCTGGGGGGGAGGAGGGGCCATTGGTGGAAGCGGAGGACGCGGAGGTGGAGAGGAGGCCGAACAGGAAGGGCAGCAACGAGAGGAATGCAAGAGGGAAGTGTCGAGGCGGAGGAGGCGAAGGAGGGGACAGGAGGAGGAGGGGAACGAGAAGCAACTGGGGGAGGAGGCGGAGGAGGGAGAATGAGGAGGTGGGGGAGGAGGAGGGGGAGGGCGAGGAGGAGGAGGAGGAGGAGGCGGAGGAGGCTCCAGAGGAGGAGGACGAGGAGGAGAGGAGGGGAGGACGAGGAGGAGGAGGAGGGGGGAGGGGAGGAGGGTGAGGGGAGAGGGAGGGGAGGGGGAAGAGAGGAGGGGAGGGGGGGGAGGCGAGGAGGAGGAGGAGGAGGGGGAGGAGGAGGAGGAGGGGGAGGAAGAGGGGGAGGAGGAGAGGAGGAGGAGGGTGATGATGATGATGATGATGATGAATTGATGAATGATGATGATGATGATGATGATGCTGATGCTGATGCTGATGCTGATTGCTGATGCTGAATGCTGATGCGATGCTGATGCTGATGATGTGATGATGCTGATGATGATGATGATGCTGATGATGATGATGATGATGATGATATGGTGATGGCGATGATGATGATGATGATGATGATGATGATGATGATGATGATGATGATGATGATGATGATGATGATGATGATGATGATGATGATGATGATGATGGTGATGGTGATGGTGATGGTGAGGTGATGGTGTGGTGATGGTGATGATGATGATGACGATGACGATGATGATGAGGAGGAGGAGGAGGAGGAGGAGGAAGAGAAGGAAAAGGAGGAGGAAACGGAGGAGGAGGAGGAAGAGGATAAGCAACAGAAGAGGCAGCAGCAGCAGGAGTGCGCGAGAAAACGGCCCACAGGAGGAACAGGACCATCATTTTAGTTGCCGTCTGTTGGTAGCGCTGCTTCCATTTTCCATGACCCTCCCCCCGTCGTCCCTGCGCTAACCTTGACGGTAGCGCTGCCCCATTTACCCTCACCTTCCCCCCGTCGTCTTTGCGCCCACCTCCCCAAGGTGTCCCCAGCTTTACGCTTCATTTTGAAACCTCATGGTGCCCTCTGGGGCTCGTGAAGGGCTCTCTGAAGGCCGTGGGGGCCTCCTTGGAAATCCTGGGGGCACCTTGGGCCAAGGATAGTTCTAGCACCGCCCCGGTGTCTGGGAGGGGACTGGCGCACAGCGGTGATTGCCTCGCGCCGCGTTGAGTGCCAGTCTGGGCGGAAGTGGGAATGGAGCAGGAGGAGGAGGAGGAGGAGGAGGAGGAGGACGTCGTCATCGACGGCCGCAACGGCGAGAGAGTGGGAACTAAAAGTTGCCACGGCCAGCGCTAGGTCGTCGAAGGCGCTTGCACTCGCAGCGCATTCGCAGCGCACTCCCACCACGCCGAAGACGGCATGGATGTCCGTAGAAGGCCCAGGTGGGAATGCGCCGATCAAAGTTGCTTGTGTCCTGGTCGCAGTGCGCGACCAGGACAAGTTCAACTTCGATCGGCGAGGCACTCGCCCACTCAGGTGTGGCGCTGCGCGAAACTTTGGTTCTTTGAGTCCTTGGGCACTCGGTTGTGCGCTCCGCCTGTGGCCCGTGCGCTTGGGCCCACCATGGATGGCGCCGCGCCGCGCATTGTGTTGCAGCAGGACCTTGCTGTCGCCTGTGCTGGCCATGCTTGTGCAGAGCAGCCACCAACAGGGATGGCCCCAACGAATGCGTCATCCACTACACGTGCTGCGGCTGCGTTGGCAGATCGAGCGCGTCCGAGCCAGTTCCACCGCGCGCATGGAGGAGCTCTTCGCCTATATCACGCCCGTCCGTTCATCGTTTGCTGGGCGTGGGTGTTTTCCTCACGTTGTCACGCATCGCTCAAGCACTGGCGAGGCGTCCTGGCTTGCCTATCGGCCCACCACGGAATGTTACGGAGCACCCCGCAGTTGCGGATAAGAGTGATGGGTGTGGCGAGGACGTCGGCAGTTTGCGAGGCTCCGCATAAGCCCGCCGCAGGCGTCTAACTTTGACTCTAAGCGGTGAGCCCGCCGCAGGCGCCGATTTTTTGCTAAAGCATTGTGGGTGCGTCTCGGGGTGGGTCGCGGGCACTGTCGCGGGTGGGTCGCGGGTGGGTCGCGGGGTGGGTCGCGGGTGGGTCGCGGGTGGGTCTCGGATGGGTCGCGGGTGGGTCGCGGGCGGGTCGCGGGTTGCGTCGCGGGGTGGGTCGCGGGTGGGGTCGTGGGTGGGGTCGCGAGTGGTTCGCGGGTGGGTCTCGGAAGGGTCGCGGATGGGTTGCGGGCCGGTCGCGGGGAGGTATAACGACAACAAACAGCATCAAACAGCAACAGCAACAACAACCATAACAACACCAACAACGACAACGAACACGAACACGACAGCGACAACGACAACGACGGCAACAAGAACAATATCACTAGCCATGACAACAACATCAACAACAGCAGCAACAACAACGAGAACACTCGGCACCGTGGAACCTCATTTCAGCCACGCGCAGGGACGGTGAATGCCCGTTCGGCCCCCGCAGTTTGATAAGAACCGACTGCGGTTTGCACGAATTGCTTTCAGAATATGTTTGGCCTAGCGCATTTAGTTCTACAATATTGGGCCGTTGGCCAAACAGTATTGTTGTTGATCTTAGAACATTCGGTTGTTCTGTGAACATCTCGCGGTCGGCCTAATTATAGGAATGCCGGGACGGTCGGTCCCTGCTCGAATCGCGGACCTTTCGGCATTGAGCCCTGCCAGCGTGGGGCAACATTTTGTCCTCGACCACGATTGGCGTGAGCGTGGGCGCTGATTCGTGGATCTGCCCTGGTTGATCTGCCCTGGACCATGCTGGGCGCCTCTGGTCCTGCTCGCATGGCGCAGTGGGCGGCTTTCGCGTCGGGGGCCCAGCCACGCCGCGCCAGCGCGGAGCTCGGCCGAGCCGAAGCCAGAGTACAGCGCGCCCCAGCTCCGTCGAGGCTGGGGCTCGCACGGCGTTCGACCTGGTAACCCTTTCGAAAACTACTCGCAGATTGCCCCGTGGGCTGAGCTTGCTGATGCGATAATGACGGTTGCGGCGCCCTTGCAGATGTCGGCGTGTGACGAATTGATCATCATAAGTCTGTGACGATTGTGTTCTGTAATCGGAAGGTGGCACATCGAAGGGCTCTGCAATGTTATGTCCTTTGGAGACGCTGGTCTAGAGGACAGCACCACCCACCCCCGCCCTCAGCTAGGACCCCACTCCCGACCTGGTGATCCAGAGGTCCTGGCTTGGGGTTGAGGGCCCCACAAAACCGCTACCACCCCCAGCCAGGACCCCCTGGATCACCAGGTCGGGAGTGGGGGTCCTGGCTGGGGGTGCAGTGTGTCGTGCCGTCCTCGGATGTGACAAACCGTTGCGACGACAGGGCCCTTCGCAGTGCGTCGCAACGCGTCCGATCGTTGAAAAGAAGAACATTGCAACAATCGTTGAGGAACCGCTTCGCGCGATCCCCCTCCGCCCCCCCAGCCTTACTGGCATTGACAAGCGTTTCCTGAGAAGTGGGGCCGGAGAAACTTGAATTCAGCATCTCGAGCGCCATGCTTGCCCATGTTCAGGCCAGAGGGGGGAGCGGTGAATTCGGTCTTTTCTAGTTCGGGCGTTGCTGTTGCAAAGTGTTCCCTTCAACCTGGAGCTCCTGCAGGCGCCCGCGCGCCCCCGCCGGTTCCGGGAGCGCGGGCCGGGCCAATTCTCTCTGCCACGGGGTATGGCGGCAAGAGGAAGTTTGTGGCGCGTCGCCCAAGAGAGGTGTTTCGTTTTTGCCGCGCGGATGGCAGCGAAACCCCACGGGCCCAGCATCCACGGCGCCCCGATCTGATCTCCGAAGAAGCAAAGACCACATAAGCATACACTTTTGGCGCTCCGCGCTGCTTGGATCCGCGCCTGGGCCCCCCGGCGGCGCCTCCGGCGCCGCCCCTGGCGCGCTCCGCTCGCCAGGGAGGGAGGGGGTCCAGCGCGAGTCCGAGAAATCCGCGCGGAGCGCCAAAAGCTTATGTGTATGTGGTTGTTCCTCCTTCTAACGATATCCTCCCCGTTCCCTGCCGCTGCCCTTGTCGCCTCTCCTCGTCCCTCCTCCCTCTTCGCTCTCCGTCCCCCCTGCAAATGTGTAAATCATCATTATATTGTCAAACATAATAAAGCTTATTATTTATGGTATATAATTAAACATTTGGGTGTTTTTCGTTCGTGTGTTCCCCTCTCCCCCCGTGCACCCGTCCACGTTCCTACTCGTCGTTCCCTCCCCTTCCCCCTCGTCGGGCCCCCTGCCTCGCCAACTCCCGCGGCAGCCCGCGCTCGCGCGCCAGAAGCCGCTGCCCATGCCGCCCGATGCGGTGCTGGTGTACGCGTGGCGGCCTCGGCGCGTGGACGCTCCGTTTTCGACGTGTGCGGGCAGCGTTCGGCGGGCCGAAGAGAAGGAGCCAAGGGTGGAGGAGTGGAGGAGTGGGCACGATGCGGAGGAGAAGGAGGGGGGGGGAGGAGGAGGAGGAGGAGGAGGA